GAACAAGCAGAAAGGTGAAGTATGTGCTGATTGGGACGGTCCCGATCCCAATTGGAGCTGGGGACAAGGAGCCTTCAGAAGCGGCCGAGCCGGAGGAGGAGGACCCGAATCCAGCAGATTGGGAGGAGGAGGAGGATCAACCCCGGGCATCAGACGAGGAGGCCAAGAGGCTCAACGACAAGGTTAAGGACGAGATGGCCGACGCTATGAAGGGCGTCGCGGTGCAGAACGTCACGATGGCGGAGGTGATGGAATCCAGGAGCGCCAGAGAGGTCATTAGAGCCATCAGCCTGATCTTTGTGAAGTATCGCAGCCTGGGCATCCCGCTGTACCGCATGCATTGCGATCGGGCGAAGGAGTTCCTGGCAAGGCCGGTGCAGCAGTGGTGTTTGGAGCACAATCTGTTGCTCACAATGACAGCGGGCGATGATCACGCGGCCAATGGACGAGTAGAGACGGAGGTCAACCAGGTGAAGAGAAGGCTGCGAGTGGTCCTCAAGGACTCAGGGGCTCCGGTGAAGCTGTGGCCTACGGCACTACGGCATGTGGTGCTTCAAAGGAACCAGATGCAGCTCCAGAGACTTGGGGTGGACACCTTCCCGATGCTCCCGTTCTACTCCAAGGTGATGGTGAAGACAAAGCGGTGGCATAAGAAGGGCCCCCTGGCCCCTCCATTTCGAGAAGTACGCCTACTGGGTCCTAGTCCAATGATGAGTTGGGGCTGGGTGGTTCAGACAGAAGACGGGGCCATTCAACACACCAGGGCGGCTGTTCTGCCCGACGAGGAGGCCGACCACGCAAGGGACCTGGAGGCGGGAAGAGTAAGGTATGAGTTGGAGATGGAGGAACATCCAGGGAAACCGAGAACGCGGTTGACGGGCAAGCAGAGTCTGGAGCCAGGCCCTAAACTGGGGGGAGACGGAGAAGAAGGGCATCCAGCGGCAGATGGAGAAGGTCTGGCACCCGCTCTACGTGAACTGCGAACGGGGGGGGAGTACACCTCTCCATCAAAATCATGGAGTTTTGAAGAAAGCCTGGAGGAGACGAAGAATCTCATGAGCAGCTACCAGTGGGGCTTTAAGGAAGCACTGGCGGAGGAGCTCAAGGTGATCCCCATGGACGAGATCACCGGGAATGGTCAAGGAGCAGCGATGGAGTTCCTCCTGGGTGGCATCAACCAGCTGGAGGATGACCTGGTGATCATGCAGGACCGGGAGAATAAGGACTTCCATAAGCTGGCAGGACTGCAGGGAGCAGATGGAGAAGAACCGGCGAAGGTTCTGCAAACCTACACGGTGCCGTTGCAGGAAGTGCGGAAGGATCTGGAAGCATGGAGAGAGGCCATGATGGACGAGTATCGCTCTCTGGTGAACACAGAGGTAGTCAAGCCCATCGATGAGTGCGATCTGGCGGCGGTTCCGGGGATTGAAGATGCCGAGTACGCCCCGGGGAAGCTGGTCACGACCATCAAGGCCCCGACAGGAAGAAAGAGGGCGAGGGCAGTGATATGTGGCAATTTGCTGGCGGACGGCAACGGCAAGGTGGCGCGGACCTCGGCTGACAAGGCCGAGAACTATGCGGGGGGCATCGACGGGACGGCTCTGAGGTGTGTTCTGAGAAAGGGAGCCCACGAACAGTGGTCCTTGGCAACCGTGGATGTGAAGTGTGCCTTCCTGCTGGCGCCCCGGAAGGAGACCCGGCGAACCCTCATCACAAGGCCCCCGAAGGTTTTGGTGGAGGCTGGGATCGTCAAGGCGTCGGAGCGGTGGTTGGTTCAGGGAGCCATGTACGGCTTGGACACCAGTCCAGCAGATTGGTCAGCGTTCCGAGATCAAGGGCTAGCGGGCTTCACCTGGCAGGATCGGGGGAGGACCTATGGCTTGGAACGGACGCCGGAAACCAGTGTATGGTCTATGGTGGAGTTTGAGGCCGGGGCTCGCAAGGACCCCAAGCCCTGCGGCTACTTGGTGATCTACGTGGACGACTTTTTGGCGGTGGGACCTACTTCCTTGGTGGAGAATGTCATCAAGAGGATCAATCAGGAGTGGGTTTGCAGCGCGCCGGAGTGGGTGAACAAGGCAGGATGGACGAAGTTCTGCGGAATGGAGTTGAAGTGGGACGAGGACGGTGAGACTCTCCGGGTAGCACAACCCTCGTACATCTCGGAGCTGATGCAGCGGCACGAGGTGGTGATGGCTAAACCGGCCCCGTTCTACAAGCCGGAGGTGCCTGAGAATCCGGTGATCACGCAAGATGGCATCCGGGAGGCGCAAGGACTGGTTGGAGAATTGCTATGGGTGTCGGTGCGCACCAGGCCGGATGTGGCATTCGGGGTTTCCTGGATGTCGCAACATGTCACCCGGTGCCCTTTGGAAGTCGTGAAGGCGGGGAAGGACATGATGGCCTACCTTTACGGCACGAAGGACTTGGGACTGGTCTATGGGCGCTGCCTGGGAGACCGAGGAGCAGAAGGAGATCTTCCTTTCGCGAGATCGATGAGGCGGCTGGAAATGTATGCGGACATCTCTTTTGCGCCGCAGGGAGAGAAGAGCCACCAGGGAGTTTTGGGATTCTATGGTGGTGCCCTCGTCCAGTGGGAATCGGGTCGACAGCCTTTTTGCACCCTCAGCACGGCAGAGGCGGAGTTGGTGGGCTACATCGAGGCCATGATCATGGGAGACTCCCTTTGTGCAATCCTGGACATCACCGAGGGAGGATGCTGGAGCGCCAAGGAGGCGGAGAGGGTGATCTACGGGGACAACACGGCGGCCTTGGCCATCGTGCAAAGTCCTTCGGGGCCGTGGCGCACACGGCATTTGCGCCTTCGATCCAACGTGCTGCGTGAACGAGTGCGAGAAGGGGAATGGCAGATCAGACATTTGCCGGGTAGCGGGTTGGTGGCGGACTACCTCACGAAGGCGGTCGCGGCAAGGACACAGTGGCTTCGATTCTACTCCATGGCGGGCATGATCAAGGATGAGTCGGAGGTGGTTTCGCGGCCAGGACCAGGAGAGGCAGACGGTGGTCGGGTCATTGGCAAGGAGGCAGCGGTGAAGGTCGCTGCGATGAGTGGGTTGATGGGCCTCATCGCCTGCTGGAAGCCTCAGGATCGGGGATCATGCCTGATCCGGGACGTCTGCTTGGCCTCCCTTGGAGTGGGTGTAGGATTCGTGCTGAGAGGCCAATGGGCCCAACCCAAGAGGGAAACAAGATCGGCTAGGGAAGATGAACCAGCCGCACGTAAGGACAGCCCAATGAGGGTTGCAAAGATGGTCAGGGAAGATGAACCGACCGCAGTTGAGGACCCCTTTGTGACATCAAGATGGGCTAGGGAAAATGAACCAGCCCCGAGGGTTAAACCGGTGGACCTTTACCGCAGGCCATTTTACCACTGCCCTACGGGCTGCCCTGCATCAGTAGGTAAGGGTCAGGTGCCGATTGGGGCACCGGGTGAGCCATGGCCTGAGCCTCCGGGTGGTCCAGATCGTGGGTCACTGGATGAGGAGCCCGAGGACTTTTGGGAGGTGACGTTTGAGCGGGACTTCATCGTGGCGACCCGCATCCACATGCTGAGGAGAAACCGGGACTTTCAACCGGATCCCAGGAACATGCCGCCGGGGGTCAACGCTACGATGCTGGAGGGTCGGCGACAGACAAACTTGGTCTTCGTCGACATCAGACGCGGGCGGCGGGTGATCAATGACAACTGGAGGACGGATGTTTTTCGCGAAGCAGATGCCTGGACGGGGTCTACGACGTTTGTGGCTCCTTTGCGGGGCAATGTGGGTTTGAGGGACTTGGGGATTACTTCACTGCCGGGTGAACGTGAACGAAGCCGCAGTCCGAGGGATGACAACAACCCGGATGACGCGGGACCAGCCCGTCCCAGGATTGGGAACACCCACGTCAGGGCCCCACAGGAGCGAGAAGTTCGACCACGGCTGCGAGCTTTGAGGTGGTTGAAGAAGCCATCTTCCGAGGAGAAGATTGAGGAGAAGAAGATTGTGGAGAAGAAGATTGAGGAGGAGAAGAAGTCAGAAGATTCAGAGGAAGAGGCGCATCAGGGTGGACCAGCACTCCCTTGGGAGCTCGACCAGTACAAGGTTCCCCCGATGCTCAAGAACAAGAACAAGGATGAATGGGATTGGTCCCAGCCGGGATGGGCAATCCGCGCACATGGAAAACCTCGGAAGCGCAAATTCCACCCGATCCACAGGGAGTTCCCGCTGGATGCCGCGGTGCTGGAATCGAGGAGGATCACGGTGAAGCTGCACACGGGCACGTCGCCGGTAGGGATTCGGTCCGTGGTGGAGGACAGCTGGACGGCTCATCAAGAGCGACAGAGGACTTCGCAGATGCAACCATGGCGGGGGTACACCTTCTTCCGGATCAAGATCGGGAAGGAGCGGAATTCTGGCGGAAGATCCACCAGGAATTGTGCGAGGGCTTCAACGAGCGTGGATCCAAGGGCGACTGGGTCTGGTGGCGGCGAGGTTCACCATGGCTATGCTCGAGGCGGCTCGGAGAAGCGGGGTAAGGACGCGGGGCCGGTCTTGACGTTCCCGGAGACGGAGACTTTTGAAGACCGTAGGCCCCGAGGAGTTTTTCGAGACGAGGAATCCGATAAGAGGGCCTCGTCCTCGGACTCATCCAATTGGGATGTGGTCTGATGTGGCGAATGCCACAGGGGGAGTGTGAAGAGAGCACTCAAATTTCGTGAGCATGGACGACCAACTGCAACGTTGGCTCAAGACGCATCGGAAAAGGGTGCGCGCTAGTTTTTACCCCAACATAACCGTAGTTTTAAAGGGAAGCATAAGGAAGACCACGACTTTTAGGAGTACCCAGATGTTGGATACAAACCCATATGTGGCTCAAAATTGAACAATAGGGTTACGCAGGTTCTAGTCTTTGGTTCCATTTACCAAGGTGCCATTTTGGTACATTTGTTTGAGCCCGCATTTGTTTTCAGCTCGCCAGGCATCTGACACGTGTCACGCCTCGTGAGCTTGTCTCCGGCATCTCTTCCTACGGCTGGCACGTGCCATGTGAATTCTTCTCAAAACAGGGATTTTCAAAATGGGATTATTCAAAAACCATCCAAAAAGGCTTGCACCATCTTCAGAAACCCCAATGTGGGTATTTCCTCGAATTGGCTGGGTAACGTGCAACCTTGCATGGCATTTGTTCTGCCTTGCTTTTTTGTGTTCATCTGAAATGTCGTCAAATTTGGTACCCCTGACAGCGCCGTGGTTTCCTGGTTCCCTATTAAAAGGCCATCCAAAACACCACCATGCCTGTTCTCGTCAGTGGCTCCCCGAAAAACCACTGCCCTGCGATCATCCGTAAAATGAAATCGACACACCACCTGGAATGTTGTCAAACCGGTGACCCCGTTGGCGATCCTTGACACGGCAGCTGAACATGTCATGCCAAAGAGGGCCTGCATTTTTTGAACGGCTCGTGTTGTTGAGGATTGCACTCGAACCATCCAATTTTGGCTTCCCCACCTGCCAAGTCCATCTTTATCATCCCATTCCTTGACCCTGCAAGCTTTCTCCGCCCGGCCTCCGCCTAAACCACGCCGTACCACCCGCAGGAGCCACACGCGTGCCTGTCCGGCAGTCAGGCTGTGAGTGAGTGACGTGAATTACTGAATGACGCGAGTGAGATCGAGTGAGTGACTGGCAGTGCGCCAAGTGCAAGTCTCCAACTTACCCGTTGAGCAAACTCCGGCCAGGAATCTTCATCGAAGGCTTGGGGTATGCTCCCAGGAGATGAGGGTTCTTGGAAGGCCAAGACAAGAACCTAAAGAGGCCGTGCCCCCCCCCCCAAGCCTAACAAGAAGGCTGCCAAAACCAAGGGGTTGGAACCATCCTTGACAAGCCAGCGCACAGGGGAGCTTCCAGGTTAGATTGGCACGGAATGCAGTTGGTATGGGGCACAGCAGTGAGTCTTGCAAGGACGGCTCCCAAACGCTCCCTAAGGAACCTCAGGAACCCCAAGAACCCGTAAGGTTCTTTTGAGCTCCTTGAAGCTACCCTTGGCTGACATGCGGCTGGCCTCCTGGCCGACATCTGCAGTGCCGGAGAACCTGTGACACATGGAGTTCAGTTGACCGACGTGATCGGATGGTCTTCCTGGCGTCTCCAACTTGTAGAAACACCGCCCCAAACCAATCCGAAACCAGCCTAAAGCAGCACCAAACCCCAAAGCTTACTCGCCGAAGTCTCAAACTGAGCCGCGCACATCAGCTGGTGGAAGAGCGGGATCTCCTGCGAGCTAAGCGAACATTGGGGCGGACCTGGCTTGAGAAGCTTCAGGATTTAAAGGACAAATCCAAGGAATCCGCCGAAAGTCCAAATGGAGCTGAACGATTTTACCTTCCAGTCTCCCAAGGGGTCCCAAGAATCGGAACTATGGATTCATCACCCTTCTGATTGGTATGGTCCAAGTCAATCTCGGGTTGGCATCTTTGCAACCCCTTGCCCTTCTCACACTCGCCCGGCTTGACTCTAATGGATGGAACCTGAACAGGCAATCAAGATAGGGGCAAAGTATACCTCCGGTACAGCCTGAAACAAGAGTGTCCTCTAAAACTCCATGGTCTTGGAGCTCCAGCTTCGCACCACAGGCTGATCCAAACCCTTCTCTCTGAGGGCTCAAAAAAAAACCTGGAACATAAGGTTGAACATTGGCCCCCAGGACCAAGGATTGCTAGACGAGGGTAGTCTCCTGCAGCACTGATGTCCGCTTCCAACGATTGCAGGTAGGGAAGCCCGGGTTAGGGCAACATGTGCTTCAAGAACCCCCGCCTCCAATCACCACAAGAAGGCTCAAACAGTGTGGTGGTTGAAACCCCAGTTGAAGCAAGGGTTTGACTCACCCAACGAGGGGCCTTCCACGAAACCGAGGGAAGTTCACCCAAGCACTCTGATCGGATCGCCTGGAAGTTGGCGGCAGGCCGGCCCAAGAAATGCCTGGCCCGCGAGTGGAGGAAAACGAATCGCCCAGGTCGCAACCCCTCTCCGAGGAGCCGGAAGGGGTCTGTGTTTGAGCGGCAAATGGAGGAAAAAGAATCGAACAAAACCAGGGCAGGTCTCAACCCTCCGATCGCCCCAGAGTTTGCTTGGGCAGAGACCCCAAGCTGCCAGCAGTCGGGGAGAAGAAAAACGTGCAAAGTTGAACAAGTAAAATCAGTTTGGCAAACGCATGAGCCGCGGAGAAGTCTGACGTGGAAATTATTGACTTCATCAATTCAGCTTGGATTATCAGCGGTAACCGGCGTCATGGAACCCCAAGTGCCCTGTGCCAAAACTCCAGGCGCTACTCCGTAAAAGCCGTGCCCCATCTGACTGGCTGAGCGCACTTGGCCAGGGCCGGGTACAGGAAATGCTGGGGCTGCGCAACGACGGGCCTGGACAGCGGCAACACCACAGATCCCATAAAGGTGTCTCGCAAAATGGCGGGATACGTGGGCTTTATTTGTGACTTGTTCAAGGGGGAATTGTGTAGTGCTGTGTGGCAATGTACAGTGCGATTCTCTGGCACAACGCCTCGGGCAGTAAACCCAACCCGCTCCACATGGTTGGTTTCACACATGTCCCCTCCAGGTTTGCACCTGATTCGGAGCAAAACACGTTTGTTTCTTGTTTTTTTCATTTTTTTGATTTTCGAGACATACCCACGTGGGCCACTCTAGCAGAGATTGTTAGGTATTGCACAAACCGCCCGTCGAAACCGAACATTTCAATTGGAAATCTTGGGGGCCCTAAAGGGGATGTGGACTGTCTCCCTCAAAGTGAATTGAGGTAGGGTCCAATGGCTGAAGTGTTTGATGGCAGTCACCAGTCACCAGTCGAGGCTGGGGCACGCAGGCGGCGAAGAAAGACGCCGCCAGGCGCGAAGTTTCCGGCACGCCGTCCTGGTTTCTCGCTACTTGGTGGTTTGGAGCCCTGCGGTTCAGGAGGGTTTTCCCATTTTTTCCTCAAGAACCAAGGCCAACTAAGGGCTGATATGCCAGGCAACCCAGAAAATAGGAACTTGCCGAGGCTTTTCGGGGAAGGCGCCAAAAATGCCCAGCCGGGCGCAGATAGATGAAGAAATGAACGGGGGCATGTTTTTCTGGCCCATGAACCAAACAAAACGGAACTCCGAAACTTTGGAGGTTCCGCAGAGTTTGCGTCGGCATGGGTCGACGCTCTAAGACTACATTGACTACCCCCAAACCGCTACCCCCAGAAGCCAAATGATATATAAAGGTTATACAAGGGTTATATAAGGGTGATACGAGGGCGCCTCAATTTCTGCATATTTGGCTGCTGCGGAGACCAGGTAATTCTGGAGCCGCGGCATGTGTTTCATCCGGGTTCGCTGCGATCAGTTTTGAAGGTAAAACTTGTAAACGTCAACGCGTAGCTTGCGCTGGGATCTTTGTTTAGGGTGAAACCTTGGAAAATCAACGCTTTGCTTTCTTGGCAGCCAGTTTGGTTTGTCGCTTTGATCATGTCACGTTGAAGGGACCGTCGCATCCCAAAACTCCTAGGTTGGGGGTAGTGAGTCCCAAAATGCTCGGTTTGGGGGCAGTGGATTTGATTGGGCGGTTTGGGGGTAATGAAAAGTCCCGTGGTATGCGAGTGAAAGAAATGAAATATATAACTACCCGCAGTTTCGGGGTAGTTGGAGGGCAACCGAAACTCAAATAAAGTCAGCAAAGTGCGACACAACACATAGGGGACCCACCATCTAGGTGGGGTGAGGGATCAAAGAAACTTTTTAGGCATCAAACAAACTTCTTCCTGAAGATCAAAAAAACTTATTAGAGGTCAAAAAAACACTTCTTCTCTTAGATTTCCTATTATTAAGTAAAAACTCAGGGGGAAAAAACCTTGTTAGGCATCAAACAAACTTCTTGATTTCGTGGCATGCGCATCACGCAAGGTCAGGTACAGGTTTGTGGCAGGCGCGACACTCCACAAGGTCAGGTACATATTTCGCGGCAGCTTTCGCACGGTACGGTACAGATTTCGCGGCAGGCGCGGCAGTTTCGCAAGGTACGGTGCGCATTTTGCGGCAGGCGCAGCACTTTCGCAAGGTCAGGTGTAGAGTTCGTGGCAGGCACAGCACTTTCGCAAGGTCGAGTACAGATTTCGCAGCAGGGGCAGCACTTTCGCAACGTCAGGTACATATTTTGTGGCAGGCGCAGTACTTTCGCACGGTACGGTACAGTTTTCGCGGCCGGCGCGGTACTTTCGCAAGGTACGGTACAGATTTCGCGGCAGGCGCAGCACTTTCGCGAGGTACGGTGCAAAGCTTGTGGCAGGCGCAGCACTTTTCGCAAGCGATGAAGAGAAAGATGCAGAGAAATAGACATGCAGAAAAGGGGAGAAAAAGAGAGAAAGAGAAGGAAAGAATGAAGGAAGGGAAGGAAAGAAAGAAAGAAAGATCGAAGATGCGATGATTCAACAAAGGGCGCGTCAATCTCTGCAAACCTTCTAAAAACAAGCGTGGGGTTGGGGGGGCTGCAGCCCCCCCCATTATGATCAAAGAAGAAAGAAGCGATGATTCAGCAAAGGGTGCGTTAATCTCTGTAAACATTGTCCAAATCAGCGGGGGAGTTGGAAGCCCCCCCATGACGATCGAAGAAGTGACGATTCAACCAAGGGTGATCCGCCGATTCCCGAAACCGATATTGAGAACCTGTCAAAATGTTTCGGATATCCTTCCGTTGCTTCCTTTCTTCCCGGAATTCCTTCCTTCCTTCCTTCCTTCCTTCCTTCCTTCCTTCCTTCCTTCCTTCCTTCCTTCCTTCCTTCCTTCTCCCCATGGGAATGAGAAGAAGTTGTGTTTTCATCCCTAATAAGTTGCTTTTATTGATCCCTTTTTTGTTGGTGAATATCCCATTTAGGTGGGGGTTCATGTCCACCAACCACCTTGGAGGTGCTTCCCGATTCTTCATATCCAGATGAGTCTGTCTTTTTCGAGGGTACAATTTTTGGGT